CGATGCTCTCCGCACTTCCAGGTTGGATGCCTCCGTTGCCTATCAACGGGGTCTCCACGTACCGCTTCCTGCGCGTTGCCAGGCGACAGAAAGTGAGCTTCCACCGCGCTTATTTACATGTTATTAATTTAGGGCCTACTTAATTTGTTCCTTTTAGTGGAGGACCTGCTTTATTTACATGTCATTAACATAGAGCCACTCGTATTTGCACGTTCTTACTGTAGGACTTCCATATGAGGCGTGCTTGACCCCTCCCATCGCTGGGGAGAGACACCAAAGGTCACCTGAGGACACCCCCCCCCCGCATCCTTAAGCCCCATTTTTTCTCCCTCCACCACCCCTCAGGTTGCCCCCCTCGCTCAAATCTTGCCCCCTGCCCCCATATTTGCCCCCCCATCCCTCTGGGACCCCCCAAAACAATACCCCCCCCAAAACCCTCCCCACCACCCCAAAACCTGAATCTCCTTGAGGTGCTGGTACCTGAGCCCCGAGTTAAGGAGGAAATGGGGGGGGAGGGTGGGGATCATGGGAGGGAATTGGCGGTTCCTGGGGATCCCAATGGGATTTGGAGGGGTCCAAAAGTAATTTGGGACTCCTGTGCATGGATTTGGGAGAAGAAAAGGGGTTGGGGGGGTTACAAGGGGGAATTGGGGGGTGTTGGGATCCCAATGAAATTTTGGCGGGGGATCCTAACAGGCAAAAGGGTTTGGAGGAGTCCTGAGGGGTTTGGAGGCTCCCCAATGAGCTTGGGGGTCCCCCCGCTTTTTGCGGTGCAGCGGATACCACAGCAGGTTCCCTTTGATCTTCTTCACATTCCTATAGGAACACACCCCCCCCCCCCCCGCCATGTATTTTAGGGACCGATCCGAGGTTTGGGGTCCCTCCAGATGTTGCAGTTCCTCCCCCCCAGATGTTGGGGTGCCCCCCTCACCGCGGGTGCCGCACGTGGCCCATGATGTACTCCCGGATGGGGGCACAGGGCCCCGTGCACAGCCTGGAGGTGGGGGGGGAGACAAAGAGAGGGGGTCAGGAGCACCCCAACCCCCCCAGGACCCCAAAAGCCCCCACTGGGGGGTCCCGCGGGCTCCAACCTGCGCAGCTCGGGATCGCAGGGGATCTCCAGCTCCACCATGATGGGCGAAATTGGCGCGCTGGGAGCGCCGCGTGGCACGACGGGAGTTGTAGTCCAAGCCGGGCGGCGCCTTAATGGTGCTGTATGGGTGTCGCACTGCATCATGGGAGTTGTAGTCCGGGCTGGGTGACGCCATGACAGGGCTCTCTGGGTGCCGCGTGGCATGATGGGAGTTGTAGTCCCCTCCTGGGCAGAGCCATAACGGGTCTCTATGGGCAGCGTGGGGCATGATGGGAGTTGTAGTCCTGGCTGAGCAGCGTCATAATGGGGCTCTATGGGGGCAGCGTTGCATGATCAGGGTTGTAGTCCCTGTAGTCTATGGGTCTCTATGGGGTCTCTATGCTTCACTTTGGTTCGCTTTCAGGCTCTCTGGGGTGTCTGTGGGGTATCTATGGATCTCTATGGGGTCTCTGTAGGTCTCTATGGTCTCTAAGGGGCTCTATGTCTCTCTATGGGTCTCTATAGTTTCTATGGGTCTCTATGGGTCTCTCTATGGGTCTCTATGGGTCCCTGCAGGGTTTGACCATGGAGGGGGGGTCTCTTTACGAGTCCCTTGGAAGGGGGAGCAGCAGCAGCTCCAGTACCAGGACGTGGGGGGGCCGCGGGGGGCAGAGCTCAAGACCCTGAGACCCCCCTCTACCCCCATTGCCCCCATTACCCCATTACCGCCATTGCCCCCCATATAAAGCCATGGAGCCAGCAGTGGGTGTGAACCTGTCCCTGCCCCATAGGGTTCTATAAGGGTCCATAGGGTCCCATCGCCCCACATCTCTCTCCTACCCCCCCAGCCAACCCTCGCTCTTTTCCTGTCGCCCCGCCCACTTCCACGGCAGCCAATCAGCGCCTGGCCCCGCGCACTGCGCTGCGCAGCCAATCAGAGCGCAGGGCTGTAGAGTAGTCCCTCCTCTCCCCTCAGCTGACTCCGCCCCCTGTAACGGCCGCAGGCACGAGGGGAGGTGAGGGGGGCAATGGGGGGAAATGGGGGGCAGTGAAGACAATGGGGGGCAATGGGGCCAATGTAGGGGTAATGGGGGCAATGGGTGTAATGGGGGGTGATGAAGCCAATGTGGGGGTAATGGGGGCAATGAGGGGTAATGGAGGCAATGGGGGGTAATGGATGCAGTGGGGTAATGGGGGCAATGGGGGGTGATGGGAGGCCCCTGCACGCCCCCCGCAGGCCCCTACCCCCCCCCCCCCCCCCGCGTCACGTGGTCATCACCCAGCACCGCCTCCTGCCCCACCCCCGCGGGCTCTTCGCCCTCCAGGTCACCTCGGGTCACGTGGGGCGGGGCCTCGGCCCCCCCCCACTATGGAGGTACCCCATAACTTGGGGGGCGGGCACAAAGGGGGACCCTCAGACCCCGCCCGATAACTTGGGGGGGGCAAAGGGGGCACCCCATAACTTGGGGGGCTCCATAGGGAACTTCCAGAGCCTGCCCCATACCTTGGGGGCCACAAAGGGGGCGCCCCATAACTTGGGGGTTCCAGTGCCCGCCCCCCAACACCCCATAGCGCGGGTCCTGGCCGCCCGCTTGGGGGCGCTGTTGCACCGGGCCTCGGTGCTGGGGGCGCTGCTCCGTGGGGGGGGCACCGGGGCTTCCCCCCCCGGCTCTCGCCGCTGCTCCGGGGGCACCGGGACCCGAACCCGGGAGCTCGGGGCTCGAACCCGGGGTCCCTGGAGCCTCAATGGGAGCCGCAACCGGATGCGCGGCGGGACCGGGACATCCCCAGCCCCATCTTTGGATCCAGTGCGGAGCAGTGGGAAGTGAGTTGGGAATGGGGGTAATGGGTGGCAATGGGGGTAATGGGGTAACAGGGGCAATGGGGGTAATGGGGAGCATTGGGGGTAATGGGGATAATGGGGGACAAAGAAACACAGGTGGAGAAAGAAAAAGCCTCAGATCTCTTGGATCTTTTGTTATCTTCATATTTACCTTTTCATCTTTTTGATGACAATTTGAGTTCCCTGCCACTGTTCACCTTTCAAGTCCTCATACATTTCTATTTCTCCCTTTGACATCTGAAACAAGCTGGCTTTACAAAAGACGGCATTACCAGTGACCCAAATACACCATGCATTTGAGCAACCAGATGGTGAACTCCTCCAGCTGAGCCAGGACTGCTTCCACGGCCTTTGTCATCAGCCACAGCCTGAATTAGCAACATTAACCTTTGGCAATACCCTCGAATTAGGAGTTGTCTCTGCTCTCCTTCCATTCCTTACATACACTAACTCTGGCTTCACTTCCACTTGCTCCTAACAGGCTACAGCTGCTCACAGCCCTGTGTCAGCTGTTATTTAGCTGCAGCTGTGAGAAGCTGCCACAGGGCACCACTGGCCCATAACATCCAATTTTCACTTAAACAATAAAATCCATCTTTGCTACAGATGCCCCTCCTCACACTGCTTCATTTTATGTTTTGCTGTCACTTGATGGAAACTTCACTCAATTTCAATCACTTTATTTTGTTGCAGGTCTATGTGCAAACTTCAATAAAGTTAAGCCCATGCCTGCATGATGTTTAGAGCTGAGATTAATTAACAGCTGAGCTAGTGGAGAGGCAAAGATGTGCTCCTTGGCCTCTCTCTGCTCAGCTTTGGGCCAAGGCAGGGGAGCAGGCCTGCTGTCCTGTTGCTGGTCACTCCACTAAGGTGGTCGTGTGTTCTCAGAAGCCCCAACAGAAGGTGGGGATGCTCAAAGGCTGGTAGTTGCGAAGCAGAGGAGGAAAGGTGGGCAGGCTGCCTTACCTTGCCTGGGCGGCAGGCTGCTGGCCCTCCCTTCGCTGTTTTGTCTCCTCCAAGGCTGCTTTTGGTTCCATTGTGTACATGGTAGGTCCTTTTCCGTAGACGTCCAGTTCCACCTTGGGGAAAGCAGCAGGACCTGGTGTCTGTAAGAGAGGCAGGGAGGTTGCTGGGTACACAAGTGTTCTGCTGACAGGCAGGGTACTCAACAAAATGATCACACACTAGCTATGTATCATGCAGTGGATGAAACAAGCACACTAAAGCAAACTGGGCAGATATCCCTGTATAGTAAATAAGTAAAATAATACAAATTGTGTATAAAAATATAAGTAAAGTACAGAGGACAACTGGCAATGGGAGTCTCAGGTAATTGGGAAAGTTCCTACAAGGCACATCCACCCATAGGTGAGGCCTCGGAGTCAGCTACAAGAGGCTCCTGCTTTTGTACCCTTAGAAACACAAGGGGCTTTATGCCAGCTCTGTCACTGTTTACTCATGGGCCCGTGCAGTTCCTCATCATCTCAGTGTTGGCCGCACTGACAGCATTGGCCAGGTGCCCCAGCCTGCCCAAGTGATAAGCTCATAGGACAGCTGCACCCTCATGGTTTCCTGCCTCTTTCTGACAAACAGTCACCATGAACACATACACACATGGACTCTGTGAAACGCACTGTGACAAAATCACACTGTGTTGTCTCTCAGTCATGAGAAGGAATCAACTCTCAGTGAGGTTCCCATCCATTACACGCTTACAGCCAGATCCAAGCAGAGGAGGTGTATGCACGTAGAGATGGAGATGCAAATGGAGATTAAAAAGAAATAGTATGAAAGAATATTTTCACAAAATAATGGAA